GTGACGGAGTGAACTCCGTGGAGTGACACTCGCAGCTAGGGCTGCGCAATTAAATCGTATTTCAATCTCGATTTTGGCTTGCAACGATTACGAAAACAGCGTAATCGAAATAAAACGATTATTTTGCTGCACTCCCTTTCGCAATGATGCTCTCAATTTGTGTTGCGTTACACATCCTGCCCCCCCCCCCCTCTCGGCCAGGTTGTGCTGTGACTCCTCACAGTCTGTTTAAGAGATCCATATAAACACGTTACAAGGGAAGCTTTAGTCTCCGTGTCTCCATGCTCCGGTGACGTCACGGACTGATACTGAAATTGTAGTACCGCCGTTTTACGTCATGTGATCAGCTCTCCTGATCGGCCTTTATAGAGAGCACTATTAAGAGTGAATATCGGCGATCGATCGGAGCATCCTTATTAAATATATTATAATGTTGCAGAAACTCACGGTGTAGACGTCCTGGCAGATCCCCTCCCTCGCTTCGGCTGCGCTGCACAGGCACGTGTCGGGGATGCTGTCCTCCCAGTCCCTGTAGCTGAACAGACCGCAGCACTGCAGCTAAAACACACAGAAGAAGAAGAAGAAATTAACAGCGCTGTAGCTCAAACACCACAGAAGAAGATATAAAAATCAGCACTGCAGCTCAAACACCACAGAAGAAGCAGGGCCTAAAGTAGGTTTTTCTTAAAAAATGTATCTAAAATGACACCATGCCCATTTTCCGTAAATACAGAAAAAAGGATCAGATCTTTCCGACGGTCCTTGAATGCATCACTTGGGACAAATATTTACATCTGGAAAAATCTATACAATTGTTTTAGTTTTTATTAATGTGCCGTTCGTTGTTTACATACTTGCAGCCTTATTTGTGTGTTTACATTTATCAATTAAAGTCTCAAAAAGTCTTCAGAGCTGGACGCCCCTGTGGGTTCATCTGGAGAGGCAGTAACTCAGGGCACCTGGCCTGGCGCCCTGCAGCTGTTCAAAGCCTCTCTGTCTTCCCTCTGCTTCTCCTGCAGGCACCCGGTTCGGTCCAGTATGCTATGAGTTGCTTCACTTTGTGCACTTCAACACTCACACATGTCCATGCAACCCTCACCCTGCATTTACACTACTGATACAACTGACATCCACACCTCATGCTTGTTTTGCACTTAATTCATTTGGCCAGTTTGATCCACGACATTATATTTCTGACATATGAAATAGTTTGTGTGTTTTTCCAGTTGTTTGCGATGAGGACGTCAAAGTGAAAGGAGGTGAGGCTTCACAGATAAAACCTGTTGGTCTCTGCAGTGGAAAGTCCTCTCGTTAGTTCTGTAGATAATTCACGGCTATTTTTAGCTCTGAAACCGGTCGCACAGGGCGTTTCCTGGAGCTCAGGGATCGCACCAACAACACAAAGGCTTATGCATGAAAAGAAAGGCAGAAAACCCAAATATATTTTAAAGAAAGGTTACTGTGCAAACTCCCATCTCTTCCCTCCTAATTAATGCTTGTGATGTTTTGTGTTTTTAGGGAGTCTGCGCCCTCAAACCAAAATGCAGGTTTTCCCGTAAAATGTTAACGTGATGCCGGAAAACGATGTTTCTGTTCCTCAAAAAACGGTTTAATGACTCCAGAAATCTGAGTATCAAACGTTGTTGTTTACGTCTGCGAGACATCTTGGATACGGGCGCCATGTTCTCCAGATAATTCTCGATAAAAAAGTCCCATATTCTGCTGTTTCTCATCAATATATCACAGGTCTCAGATATATCCAGAGCCTGTCTCTGATTGGCTGAAACAGCAAACAGATCATTGCAGCATTACCCATAATCCCCTCTGTTTCAGCCCTGTTTCAAAAGTGCTGATTCTCTGTCTGTTACTTTAGATGAAAACAAGGAGCCCCTCCCCACGCCCCATGTTGATGTAGAAGAGACATGAAGAAGAGGGGACACATGTTGATGTAGGAGAGACATGAAGAAGAGGGGACACATGTTGATGTAGAAGAGACATGAAGAAGAGGGGACACATGTTGATGTAGGAGAGACATGAAGAAGAGGGGACACATGGTGATGTAGAAGAGACATGAAGAAGAGGGGACACATGTTGATGTAGGAGAGACATGAAGAAGAGGGGACACATGGTGATGTAGAAGAGACATGAAGAAGAGGGGACACATGTTGATGTAGAAGAGACATGAAGAAGAGGGGACACATGTTGATGTAGAAGAGACATGAAGAAGAGGGGACACATGTTGATGTAGAAGAGACATGAAGAAGAGGGGACACATGTTGATGTAGAAGAGACATGAAGAAGAGGGGACACATGTTGATGAAGAAGAGACATGAAGAAGAGGGGACACATGGTGATGTAGAAGAGACATGAAGAAGAGGGGACACATGTTGATGTAGAAGAGAATGAAGAAGAGGGGACACATGTTGATGTAGGAGAGACATGAAGAAGAGGGGACACATGGTTGATGTAGAAGAGACATGAAGAAGAGGGGACACATGTTGATGTAGAAGAGACATGAAGAAGAGGGGACACATGTTGATGTAGAAGAGACATGAAGAAGAGGGGACACATGTTGATGTGGAAGAGACATGAAGAAGAGGGGACACATGTTGATGAAGAAGAGACATGAAGAAGAGGGGACACATGTTGATGTAGAAGAGACATGAAGAAGAGGGGACACATGTTGATGTAGAAGAGACATGAAGAAGAGGGGACACATGTTGATGTAGAAGAGACATGAAGAAGAGGGGACACATGTTGATGTAGAAGAGACATGAAGAAGAGGGGACACATGTTGATGTAGAAGAGACATGAAGAAGAGGGGACACATGTTGATGTAGGAGAGACATGAAGAAGAGGGGACACATGTTGATGTAGAAGAGACATGAAGAAGAGAGGACACATGTTGATGTAGAAGAGACATGAAGAAGAGGGGACACATGTTGATGTAGAAGAGACATGAAGAAGAGGGGACACCTGTTGATGTAGAAGAGACATGAAGAAGAGGGGACACATGTTGATGTAGAAGAGACATGAAGAAGAGGGGACACATGTTGATGTAGAAGAGACATGAAGAAGAGGGGACACATGTTGATGTAGAAGAGACATGAAGAAGAGGGGACACATGTTGATGTAGAAGAGACATGAAGAAGAGGGGACACATGTTGATGAAGAAGAGACATGAAGAAGAGGATTTTAAATAACAGGTCCCCTTTAAGAGAGTATTTGCCTCGTACTTTACCAAACCATTTAAAAAGTGTTGTTCTTTCAGAGTTTGGAGGAAGAAATGAAGGAACTCAATTAAAATATGACTCCGGGTCTGTTCAGTTTCTGTTCAGTTTCTGTTCAGTTTCTGTTCTTCCTCTTTCAAACCGCCCTGACCTCCGGGTCGAGGCCGTTTGTGAGTCAAATCATAAAACAATCTTCTTCCTCTAGATTTGAATTTGAGCTGCAGACACCTGGATGTTTAGGAGAGGCCGTGACGTCAGTGACGTTTCACCGACTTCTTCTCCTGTTGCAACGCAGACAACAGAACCACGTGTTCATACATGTCTCTCTTAATCTAAAAGCACAAAGCAGTCGACAATTCAGTATTTTTTCTTGGATTATTTCTCGTAAACGTTCCTTTTTATTATTTTACCTTTGAATAAAACCCGTGTGTCGTAATACGGGAAGATAAGATCCCCTGTTTTCTGCCTAGAACTAATAAAACAATAACTCCAACGATTTTATTATTAGTTCCTGTTCAAACCTGACTGCAACACACCCCTGTGTGTGTGTGTGTGTGTGTGTGTGTGTGTGTGTGTGTGTGTGTGTGTGTGTGTGTTACCTCCTGCTGTATGCTCTCAGCCATGTGCCTGTCTTCGCGTGACGCCGTGTCGAGAGGCAGAGCCGTCCTAAACTTCTGCTCAAAATAATCAGCCAGCTGCAAGAAAACACACAAAGAGAGCAATTATAAAAATATATTAACAATTTACAGAACTTGATAAAAAGACAATTATAAAATAAAAAATAAAAATCAGAAAACTACGATGGGCGACCCAAAACACTTCCATTAGGAGAAACTCACTTATAACAAATTAATTTAAAAGCTTTTAAAAAAGACACATTTCTGTCAGTGGATATATTTTTTAATTAGAAATATAACGGCTTTCAACTCTAACATGTGACCTTGAGCTTGTTTACTCAATACATTCAACACTTTTGTTAAGCTCTAGCTGTTTGAAGACGTTTGTTATTGTCCTTTTGTGATAATCAGTACAAGAAGTTCTGTGTTTTTAGTAAATATTGATCTTGTTCGCAGAACAAACAGCCGGTTGTTGTTACCATGGGGCGCGCGGTGGCGACAGGGATCCCGCAGCGGAGCATGATCAGACTTCCAATCACCATACAGACCAGGAACTGCAGAGAAACAGGAACACACAGTGAATATAGACCCACACAGATACCTGAACCGTTTGTAAAGAAGTCAGTGAGGTTTCTGAGGAATAGTGATGTTAAGTAGAACTAAGGGACTTCAACCAAATCCATCAACATTTTAATGACGTTTGGCCCTTTTCTCACTGAAGGGACATGAGGGGTTGTGTTAAGGAAAGTGTGCGATCAAATGTGTTAACATTGCTAACCTTAGTTTCTCTGATTAGGTCATCTCTTGGGAGTGAACCTTAGAGTGGACCTATCATGCTAGATTTGAATAATATATTGTAGGGCAGTGTTTTTCAAAGTGGGGGCCCCGATCCCCCCGGGACGCCAGGGGGCGCCAGAGGGGGCCACGCAAAGTTTGAGGGAAACAGGATTTGTTTTTTTAAGATGTTATTATTAACTGCATATCTATCAATCTATGTGTCCTTTGATGCCAATCTTTTAATATTTTTTTGTTTTTGAATCACACGACCGCCCTTCAAGCCAATCAGAATCGAGCTGCCGCTACTGAGAGTGAAACTGAGTATCTGCTCAGCTTTTGGAGCGAGTGAGAGCGAGTGAATGTTTCGCTCTGCAGCTGGATGAGAGCACGGTAGCAAATGTCGCAGAATTGCTTGCATGCATCAGATTTATTTCAGAAGACAACTTTGTTGAGGAAATATTATTTTGCAAAGCACTGGAAGGTAGGACCACAGGAAGAGACATTTCCAAGTTTGAGATGAGTACATCATCTCAAACGGACTTGACTGGTCTCGTTGTGTGGGTGTGTGTTAAAGCAAACAGATATTGTTCTAAACTGTATTAAAGTTAACATGTATTATTTGGGACTGTTTTAAAGTAACCCATATATATATATATATATATATATAAACCTTCTTACTTACACTCCATAACCCAGAGATCCTGACACACACACTTCCTCCCATCAGCAGACACACACACCTCCTGTCTCCATGCAGCACACACACATAAACTCCTTGACCCAGATATCAGCAACACACACGCCTCCGCTTATCAGCACACACACACACATCCCCTCACTAACACACACACATGTTCTTTTCAAGGTTCTTTCTGGGGGCCAATATAATCCCAAGCACCAATATATCTGTGTACAATGTTTGATTGTTTGGGAAGGAATAGTTTGTGTGAAATCTTCCTTGGGAAAGTAAAGGAGTTAACCGAGGTATAAGATAAAAAGTGATTCTGACCTTGTAGAGTTCTGAGGCTGTCACGCTCTGTTCAGAAGAAAAATACTTTTTCCCAGAACTCTGATTCGCTGTATTGGGCCCGACCCAAAGTGAATCCAACCAGTAGGAACACCTAGGGGAGTGAGCAACCGACCCAATCTCCTCCCCACGGACTCTCTGATTCGCTTAGGAGTAAAATGGGACGGAAGAGCCGACACACATCTCCGCCCCAAATATGTCCATATACACTGTTGTTTCTTCATGCAAAATGAAAAGAGCCCGGAGTGCTCTGTTTTCAGGGCACTCTGTATTTCGTATTGTGTTTTTTACTGTATTAAAATCAGATTATTGTTATAACTTTTATGCCGGTGTTTTAAACTCCTTTTATTAAATCTGACCAGGCTCATCTAAGGACGGCGCGGAACAGAGGTGGGCTTTAAGCCACCACTATTGTGTTTGCTCCTACAGTGTTCAGATGGGGCAGGGGGGCTATGACAGGCAAAGAAAGCGGAGTGACAGCTTTGATCAGGCAGAAGGCCCCAAATGTAGTGGCAACACACTGCATGCTCCATCGGGAGGCACTTGTACACATCATTTAAAAAGGGTTAGACTAAAAAATTGCAACAGGGGGGTCCCCGCCAGAGGATAATGCTATATGGGGGTCCTTGGCATGGCAACGTTTGGGAACCCCTGTTGTAGGGCCATACCTATATAAAACATGTCTGTGAAGTTTTTTTTTCAAAATACCAAACAGATCCTGCATTTTAGCCATGCCTCATTTCGCTCTATTCCAGCCCTGTCTTCACAAGGGCTGATTCTGTGGCAAATGAGCTGCAGCTGACCACGCCCCCCTGCAAAGGAGGGGGGCGGGGCACGAGCATCATGTTACCATGCTGTTGCCATGCTGTTGCCATGCTGTTGCCATGCTGTTACCATGCCACGCAACCTCTCATTCCCCTGATAGGTGGAGAGTAGGCCATAGGCGGAGCTCCCCGTTTCTGACTTCAGAGATATTTCAAATCTGTGTCAGATCCGTTGCAGCCCCGTTTTTAGAGATTTGGGTATGGAGGAAAAGAGAGGGTTGTGTTTTCTGACACTGGGTGAGTTCCCTGGAACACCGGGGACACATATTCATGTATACAAGACGTACAAAAGTGCATTTTGCATGATAGGTCCCCTTTAAACGTATGTGTGGTCAACTGACGTGTTTAGGGGGTGAGGTTTTGCATACTGGGCCAGAGGGGTTTCTGTATGTCCCATTGTCTTGTAGGGTGTGATGGTTTTGCACACAGTGCCAGAGGGGGTATCAGCTGGACTCCCAGAATGCTGTTGTAATGTAAATCTGCTTTGATATCCTTCTATAAAGAGAGCCTGTTTCACTCTGAACCAGCGACGTGCAGTCAGGAGAGGCAGAGCCTCACCTGTCATACTCCAATGTAACGGAAAAACAACTAAAGAAAAACCAAATAATAATAAAATGTCTCCACTGATCTGTGTTGTAAGTGTGATTTCTGTTTGATTCCAATCGCTTTTTATAGTCAAAATCAGCAAATTGGCCGAGCTCCGCTACAACTACATGGGAGCGATGAGGAGTGAGGCAGGGACGAGCTCTGCCTCACGTAAGCCCACAGTAACTGGCTGGAGCGCGGGCACTAATGTAGCGCGGGCACTTATTTTGTGAGCGCGCTCCAGCCAGTTACTGTGTGGTGAGGTGAGGCACAGATGAGCTCTGCCTCACCTCAGAATGCGTCACCCCACAGAAACTGTCTGGAAAGCGGGCCCTAAGCGCATGCCTGCACCATCTCACTGTATGTCACTAATGTAATGTTTGTAGATCCCTCTATTACATTTATCCTCGCCATCCATAGTCTCTAAATAACTTATTTCACGTATATATGATATTTAGGCTCGCTGGTCTCATCATACAACGGCAATGAAAAAAGCACCAGGGGAGGCAGCCATAACCTCTGCCGCACTGAAGGGGGCGCACGTGAGCCCACAGGTTCTTGTTGCTACTGTTATTCTACGCAGAGACGGTAACAACAAGCTAGACTTTTGAAACGAGAGGAAGATAAGGAGGACTTTTACAAAAAAGTAATGTAGATTGTTGTCCAGAAGGAGAGCATGGACTTCATCTTCAAGTCAAGGTGAGACCATAATTGTAATGAACATGGGATCTTACTAAGAAAGAACAATCTAATATTTAGATGTTGGGTATCCTTTTGTTGAACGGTCTGTTTAAAATGAATCGAAGCATCAGACTAAAAAAAGCTTTTGAAAATAACCGAACATTTCGATTAAGGTCAAAATATAATATTTGTAAATCTGACTCTGAAAGAGTCCGTGCCTCACCAGCCACGAACCTCACCGCACGTCACTGCTCTGAACAGGACGTGCTCTTTGGAGGAGACGTCATGATTGCAAGTATAAAGGATCTTTAGTGCTTTTAATACGAATATTGTGTTGCTGTACGTTTGTTACTTCTCTCTGGACCACAGCTGATTTTAAAGCTGCTACGACAGTTGTTTGAATAATACAATGTTTTTCAGATTATTTTGAACACTTTCTCTGAATATAAAGCAAATGAGAAAGTGTTGTAGCCTTCAAAATAACAGATCAATTACAAAATAAATGAAATGATTGCATTTCCTCAACGTTATTACACTTCTTATGATGACTGTACGGACGCAGAACCATGCGGGGATAGTCAAAAGGAAAGACGGTGTTTCTGTGAATCTAAAGTCAGATTAACGACTAAATGTTTCAGAGAACAGGCAGTAAAATCAGAAATCACTTTTTTGTAGTTTTCCCCGAATAGGCGTTGCAGATTTTGTAACGTTCTGTAAAGTTCAAGTATCATCGATATCCTGTGAGGAACGCTGGGGAAAATGAAGATTTAGTCGCAAGAGATGTTGAAATAAACTCATATCCGCTTTCACACAGAAGAAGGGATTTCAAAAGAGGAATTCAGATTTAAATAATGCCAAATATGAAAGAAAGCGCCTTCAGTGACGGGATGTTTCATGAAGAGATACCGCAGGTTTTTCACGGACTGGAAAGCCCCTGATGTGCAATAACACCGTCTGATCATATACAACTTTACACAATATGATACAGGATATAAGTGGAACAGCTGTGCAGTTTCAACAGAGGAAGCGTTTTATATATTTGATATTATTATTATTTATACTCACAGCGATCAGGCAGCCTCTGTTCTCCTTGTGAGAACCATAGGCTCCCAGCACAGCGATCACCATGGTTACGGATCCAAACAGATACAGCATGATCAGGCCAGTGTCCCGACCCTCGACCTGAAGACAGAGAGGACTCTTTAAAGTAGAGACACTACATACTGATATACACCTGAACATTAGCAGGAGAGGACTCTTTAAAGTAGAGACACTACATACTGATATACACCAGGACATCAGCAGGAGAGGACTCTTTAAAGTAGAGACACTACATACTGATATACACCTGAACATCAGCAGGAGAGGACTCTTTAAAGTAGAGACACTACATACTGATATACACCTGAACATCAGCAGGAGAGGACTCTTTAAAGTAGAGACACTACATACTGATATACACCTGAACATCAGCAGGAGAGGACTCTTTAAAGTAGAGACACTACATACTGATATACACATGAACATCAGCAGGAGAGGACTCTTTAAAGTAGAGACACTACATTCTGATATACACCTGAACATCAGCAGGAGAGGACTCTTTAAAGTAGAGACACTACATACTGATATACACATGAACATCAGCAGGAGAGGACTCTTTAAAGTAGAGACACTACATTCTGATATACACCTGAACATCAGCAGGAGAGGACTCTTTAAAATAGATACACTACATACTGATATACAGCTGAACATCAGCAGGAGAGGACTCTTTAAAGTAGAGACACTACATACTGATATACACCTGAACATCAGCAGGAGAGGACTCTTTAAAGTAGAGACACTACATTCTGATATACACCTGAACATCAGCAGGAGAGGACTCTTTAAAGTAGAGACACTACATACTGATATACACCTGAACATCAGCAGGAGAGGACTCTTTAAAGTAGAGACACTACATACTGATATACACCTGAACATCAGCAGGAGAGGACTCTTTAAAGTAGAGACACTACATACTGATATACACATGAACATCAGCAGGAGAGGACTCTTTAAAGTAGAGACACTACATTCTGATATACACCTGAACATCAGCAGGAGAGGACTCTTTAAAGTAGAGACACTACATACTGATATACACCAGGACATCAGCAGGAGAGGACTCTTTAAAGTAGAGACACTACATACTGATATACACCTGAACATCAGCAGGAGAGGACTCTTTAAAGTAGAGACACTACATACTGATATACACCTGAACATCAGCAGGAGAGGACTCTTTAAAGTAGAGACACTACATACTGATATACACATGAACATCAGCAGGAGAGGACTCTTTAAAGTAGAGACACTACATTCTGATATACACCTGAACATCAGCAGGAGAGGACTCTTTAAAGTAGAGACACTACATACTGATATACACATGAACATCAGCAGGAGAGGACTCTTTAAAGTAGAGACACTACATTCTGATATACACCTGAACATCAGCAGGAGAGGACTCTTTAAAATAGATACACTACATACTGATATACAGCTGAACATCAGCAGGAGAGGACTCTTTAAAGTAGAGACACTACATACTGATATACACCTGAACATCAGCAGGAGAGGACTCTTTAAAGTAGAGACACTACATACTGATATACACCTGAACATCAGCAGGAGAGGACTCTTTAAAGTAGAGACACTACATACTGATATACACATGAACATCAGCAGGAGAGGACTCTTTAAAGTAGAGACACTACATTCTGATATACACCTGAACATCAGCAGGAGAGGACTCTTTAAAGTAGAGACACTACATACTGATATACACCTGAACATCAGCAGGAGAGGACTCTTTAAAGTAGAGACACTACATACTGATATACACCTGAACATCAGCAGGAGAGGACTCTTTAAAGTAGATACACTACATACTGATATACACCAGAACATCAGCAGGAGAGGACTCTTTAAAGTAGAGACACTACATACTGATATACACCTGAACATCAGCAGGAGAGGACTCTTTAAAGTAGAGACACTACATACTGATATACACCTGAACATCAGCAGGAGAGGACTCTTTAAAGTAGAGACACTACATTCTGATATACACCTGAACATCAGCAGGAGAGGACTCTTTAAAGTAGAGACACTACATTCTGATATACACCTGAACATCAGCAGGAGAGGACTCTTTAAAGTAGATACACTACATTCTGATATACACCTGAACATCAGCAGGAGAGGACTCTTTAAAGTAGAGACACTACATTCTGATATACACCTGAACATCAGCAGGAGAGGACTCTTTAAAGTAGAGACACTACATTCTGATATACACCTGAACATCAGCAGGAGAGGACTCTTTAAAGTAGAGACACTACATACTGATATACACCTGAACATCAGCTGGAGAGGACTCTTTAAAGTAGAGACACTACATACTGATATACACCTGAACATCAGCAGAAGAGGACTCTTTAAAGTAGAGACACTACATACTGATATACACCTGAACATCAGCAGGAGAGGACTCTTTAAAGTAGAGACACTACATTCTGATATACACCTGAACATCAGCAGGAGAGGACTCTTTAAAGTAGAGACACTACATACTGATATACACCTGAACATCAGCAGGAGAGGACTCTTTAAAGTAGAGACACTACATTCTGATATGCTTACTTTTCCTCCTCCATGGCTGGAGCTCAGTGTCTGCCCGAGGAATGCGAAGGCGATGATGAGACCGCCGATAACCTGAAACAAAACAAAGTATAATTTTAATTGTGGTTTTCTCTGATCCATTTCTTTGCATGTTGAGTTTTTTTTCTGTATGCTGCACAACGACATTATATAATCTCTTAAGGTAATAAAATGTCCAAATTGCCCTAATGAAATGTTATTTTAAAGTAATTCATTTTAAGTTCCCCTTATCTTATCAAGTCCTTGTAATTTTTAAGGTCATTTACTATCAGAGTTATTCCACCAGAGCATTTTTCAAGCCGTTTCAAAAGTCCTTGTTCGTATTACGTCATCAGATTTTTTAGAACAGCATGTTAATAATATCTGAGTCACAACACCAGTAACTTTTTGTGGCATTAAAACCTTAAAAACCAGACAAAACTTAAATACAAATATGTTATAGTACAGACAGTCCAAGTCATGTTTAAGGTCATTCAGCAGTGTTAGTCCTTTAAATATCATTTCTACCGTTTTTATCTGATTATTTAAAAAACAGTTCATGCCTAATATCTGAAACACAAATCCAGATTTATTAAGAGTCGAATCTTCACCGTGCAAAACAACGCCGCGACAGGAAAGCTGTTACTTCCGTTTTTAGCATAAAACACACTGTTCTCATTGTGGTCACAACATGACTTCCTGACATGGTTTCAAAAAACACACAAACCAACATCAGCAAGAGAGGACTCTTTAAAGTAGAGAAACTACATACTGATCTACACCTGAATATCAGCAAGAGAGGACTCTTTAAAGTAGAGAAACTACATACTGATCTACACCTGAACATCAGCAGGAGAGAACTCTTTAAAGTAGAGAAACTACATACTGATCTACACCTGAACATCAGCAGGAGAGAACTCTTTAAAGTAGAGACACTACATACTGATATACACCTGAATATCAGCAGGAGAGAACTCTTTAAAGTAGAGACACTACATACTGATATACACCTGAATATCAGCAGGAGAGGACTCTTTAAAGTAGAGACACTACATACTGACATACACCTGAACATCAGCAGGAGAGGACTCTTTAAAGTAGAGACACTACATACTGATATACACCTGAACATCAGCAGGAGAGGACTCTTTAAAGTAGAGACACTACATACTGATATACACCTGAACATCAGCAAGAGAGGACTCTTTAAAGTAGAGACACTACATACTGATATACACCTGAACATCAGCAGGAGAGGACTCTTTAAAGTAGAGACACTACATACTGATATACACCTGAACATCAGCAGGAGAGGACTCTTTAAAGTAGAGACACTACATACTGATATACACCTGAACATCAGCAGGAGAGGACTCTTTAAAGTAGAGACACTACATACTGATATACACCTGAACATCAGCAGGAGAGGACTCTTTAAAGTAGAGACACTACATACTGATATACACCTGAACATCAGCAGGAGAGGACTCTTTAAAGTAGAGACACTACATACTGATATACACCTGCACATCAGCAGGAGAGGACTCTTTAAAGTAGAGACACTACATACTGATATCCACCTGAACATCAGCAGGAGAGGACTCTTTAAAGTAGAGACACTACATACTGATATACACCTGAACATCAGCAGGAGAGGACTCTTTAAAGTAGAGACACTACATACTGATATACACCTGAACATCAGCAGGAGAGGACTCTTTAAAGTAGAGACACTACATACTGACATACACCTGAACATCAGCAGGAGAGGACTCTTTAAAGTAGAGACACTACATACTGATATACACCTGAACATCAGCAGGAGAGGACTCTTTAAAGTAGAGACACTACATACTGATATACACCTGAACATCAGCAGGAGAGGACTCTTTAAAGTAGAGACACTACATACTGACATACACCTGAACATCAGCAGGAGAGGACTCTTTAAAGTAGAGACACTACATACTGATATACACCTGCACATCAGCAGGAGAGGACTCTTTAAAGTAGAGACACTACATACTGATATCCACCTGAACATCAGCAGAAGAGGACTCTTTAAAGTAGAGACACTACATACTGATATACACCTGAACATCAGCAGGAGAGGACCCTTTAAAGTAGAGACACTACATACTGATATACACCTGAACATCAGCAGGAGAGGACTCTTTAAAGTAGAGACACTACATACTGACATACACCTGAACATCAGCAGGAGAGGACTCTTTAAAGTAGAGACGCTACATACTGATATACACCTGAACATCAGCAGGAGAGGACTCTTTAAAGTAGAGACACTACATACTGATATACACCTGAACATCAGCAGGAGAGGACTCTTTAAAGTAGAGACACTACATACTGATATACACCTGAACATCAGCAGGAGAGGACTCTTTAAAGTAGAGACACTACATACTGATATACACCTGAACATCAGCAGGAGAGGACTCTTTAAAGTAGAGACACTACATACTGATATACACCTGAACATCAGCAGGAGAGGACTCTTTAAAGTAGCGACACTACATACTGATATACACCTGGACATCAGCAGGAGAGGACTCTTTAAAGTAGAGACAATACATACTGATATACACCTGAACATCAGAGGAGAGGACTCTTTAAAGTAGAGACACTACATACTGATATACACCTGAACATCAGCAGGAGAGGACTCTTTAAAGTAGAGACACTACATACTGATATACACCTGAACATCAGCAGGAGAGGACTCTTTAAAGTAGAGACACTACATACTGATATACACCTGAACATCAGCAGGAGAGGACTCTTTAAAGTAGAGATACTACATACTGATGTACACCTGAACATCAGCAGGAGAGGACTCTTTAAAGTAGAGACACTACATACTGATATACACCTGAACATCAGCAGGAGAGAACTCTTTAAAGTAGAGACACTACATATTAAAATACACCTATATAATACATCTGTTTTATTTAACCCTTTAAGACACTTTCATAACAAATAAAATCTATTATTTTATGGTTTAATCTTTTACTTCGGTACTTGTTTACCTAAAAACAGACAGAACATGTATTTAATTGCCAAACAATTATTAAAATTACACAATAAAGCAAGTAAAGGTTGGCTTTGTTTTGGTTAAACACAGATACACCTTTAAAAAAAACACAACATGGTTCATCGCTTTGAGTCACTTATTTTATATAAAAACACATAATGACCAAGAAACAGTGATTTTAGATTTCATAATAAAACATTTATGCTTTTTTGTTGTTATTTCTAAGTCACCAAACAGACTCTGATATTTATACAGGAGGTTATTGATCACATTATAAATACACACACACAACCTAAATAATCTAAAATGTATTAAAGCCGAACCTTTTGAGAGTTAGTAATGTATTCTATTTAATTGTTTTTATAAGTTGTATGTCAAATGGAGGAGGAATAAATGCACTTTATTACAAAATATATTGAAATGTTAATGGAGTATGGCACTCGTTTAAAAAGTAAACTTATAAGAGTCAAAAGTCAATCAAGGGAAATAGGATTGTACCCATGTTTGTTACAGAATGAAATACAATAAATGAGTTCAATAAAACACACATTATTAGCCGGTTTAAGAGTTACAATTACGTTTTAAACCGAAACTACGCAGTTTCTATTCCAGAGATCCGGCCACTTTTTTGAGGTTATTATTCAAACTTACCGCAAAGAAGATGTTGAAGATGGTCAGAAGCCGTTTGACGCAAATGTTGACATGAGCCATGTTTGATGGCTATTCCAATGAAACAAAAATACTGTCAATTTGTTTTTAAAAGCGTGAAAATACAACAACACCGGCGACGCACAGTGAGGAGGGATCTGGGGTGAAGCGGTTTTTAAGGAAAACCAATAAGGGGCGGAGGCTTACTATAAGGAGGAGGAGGCGTGGTTAGGATTTCCGAGAAACGAAAAGTAGGGCAGATTTGGGAGGGGGGGGGCATTTGTACTATTTAAAATAAACGTATTATTTGTACAATAATGATGATGTTGATTATAAAGTAAACAATTATTTATATTATTAATATTAGAAAATGTAATCATGTAATTACACATCATATAATACAATTAATTAAGAAATGAAAACTACCAGCTGCAACATCGAAGTGATGAAGGCATTCATACAGCAATAATTATAACAATTAAATACATTTATTGACTTTATTATTTGTTTTAATGTAATTTACTTTTGTCTGCAATTGTATTATACTCCACTACATACATATACCGTTTAGAACATGTACAACAATATACACATGTAAACATTATAACAATCTCTAACAAAAGACAACACATACATAATTAATTAAAATGGCCAAAGTCTCTTTTAATAATTTAAATGTATCAATAACGTTTTTTTCCTTTTCATAATTGATTTGCATTGCAGGGTTAATACTTTTCATTACAAAACAACAACCACAAAGCAGCAGTAAGGGTTGTGTCCTTACACAGTCATATTTATCATTTACACATCTTCTAAAAAGTATTAACCAGCCACTCTCCTTCTCTACTGCAAAGGGGAGAAGGAGAGTTTCTCTTTCCGGGAAAAATCCCTTCTAGTGAAATATGTGTGTTTGCGTGCGTGCGTGCGTGTATGTGGGCGGAGATATGTTCGGACATGCTTCCACTTGAACATAGTTTACAGGAAATGACTCGGAATACAGGAAAACACTCTCATACCTCATTATCCAAGTCATTGAAGAAGATTGAAGATTCAACTTATTGTCGTTACGTAGTACAGGAACTATGTAACAAAACGGTTTCTCTGCATTTGACCCATCCTAGTGTTAGGAGCAGTGTGCTGCCATTATGTACGGCGCCCGCGAGCAGTGTAGGGAACGGTGCCTTGCTCAGGGACACACTTGGTCTTTCCGGGACTTGAACTGGTTCCAGTGGCCAAGCAAAGTCCCTATATGGACTTTGCCACCACCTTCCTTATGGAGGATAAGAAGTCAAAAAAAGCCGATTTGAAGATATATATAGAACTATAATGGAAACATACTCAAAGTAAGAACAACAGTAACATGAAATTAACACTTAAAACTTCACCCACCATGCTGCACTGCGTTATATATCAAATGCACCGTATAGGACTCATCATTGCACACTGTAGACTAACTGGATGGTCCTCACTTAGGATGCAGCATTGGTTTTTATTAATGTATAAAGCCATTTTAGGAAAGCTTCCACTCTACATAGGCCTATGTGCCAGATCTGCTCCAGTTTGTGACTCTTACAACCTCAGACCCAGAGCCTGGATACGGGTCCAGGTTCGTGCCGTGCGGACTGAGGCTGGGAAAAGGAATGACCTTCAGTTACGCCTCAAACTGAGCGCACTTGTCCCTACAGCCGGTTTTAAATTGAAGTTATCTGAGATCCTTACCACCAGCTGCTCTTGCAGTAATAAGTAGTGTACCTTTCTTACTGTCCTAATGTGCTCAATAGTGACTGCTTTTCGTCTTTTGTTTACTTAGTTGTGTTCTCTGTATTGTATATGTTTGTGTTATGTGTTAACTTATGTGTAACGTTGCTGCCTTCTTGGCCAGCATTGAAAATTAGATTTTATTTCAATGCTTTTTCATCTGGTTAAATAAAGGTTAAAAAAAAAAGCACAAGTACTCAGAGTGCAGAATTGTATATATCATATTGTTAATGCATTATATTAATATGTCTATCGGTGTAAGGAGCCCTTTCTGCTCATTTTCTGGATGATTACAACTTTAAAGGCTTCTTTACAAAACATACAAGCTGCTTTATAGAAATCCTGATAAATACATGCACTGTATTACCAGCAGAGGTCACTCCTGTTCTTTCTGTTGCAGTCCTCTTCACTTTACCTCTCTACACATTTTGTATTGTCTTTTTCCTGCTCCAAAATTCACCGTGAAGAAGATGTTTTTCCATTTGACTTACATTAGGAAGGAGACGTCTGTAAACCAGCGGATAATCTTTTTTTAGCTAAACAAACTACACAGCACGAACTCTTTTATAGCCCTTATTTTAATCATTAGGGTGTTAAAGTTGTAAAATGCACTAAAAGCTGAATCCAGAGTTTAGAATTTCTATCTCCATTCAACTGACTGACAGAGCAGGAGATAGGAGGCGGGGCTTAAGGGGGAACTTAACTGCGCATGCGTTGTGGGGCCATGTACGGGTACATACTTTTGCATTAGCTAATTAATGCTACTTCGAAGTGCAGCTACCTGAAGCTACTAAGTTGGGATATCTTAGAAATTAGTTAATATTCTTTTTATTTTTGTTTTATATCAATTCATCAAGTGTTGTAAAACTATTCTCGCCACAGACGGACGTTAATTCGGATATTTTTATCCCACTCTAAACTTTGACTCGACAGAAAAACGAGGTAACGGTTATTAGCATGCTAATGAAACATGCCACATTAGCATAGTAGCTAAACTAGCATAATAACCGTAACGAGAAATAGTTTTCTATAATATTGTATAGTTATATAACTAATTGATAAGCTAATACATTTAAGGCATCCTTTATTTGATTTAATTTAAATGTATTTGCCGTTTTTTATTATTATTTTTACTATTATTTTGAGATTTTAGACAGTTTTTGCTTAAAATTGTCAAATATTAGTTAGTATTTTTATAATTTATATGTATTTTTTAAGTATTTATTTTCCTTTTGCGTTTGATTTTATTGTAATATTAGTTTTACAGTATTATGGGCTATCTTAGTTGCTAAAGGGGATCTACATAAATATATAATACAAGTCAATCAAATCAGTAGTTTAGCTCTGGATTAAAGCATTGAATTGACAGACAGCAAATGAATACATGTAATTAAAAATACAAGAAAAATGCACAATCAATCAATCAATCAAATAAATCAATTTGATTTCAATACATTTGTAATTAAATATGTGCTTTACATTGTGATAAGCTATCTTAGTAGTTGATCCAACTAAAACAAATACAATCAGCAGTTTAGATCTAGATCAGATTTGACTGACATATTAAAAAATAATAATACACGAAAATAAAGTAAAAATAAACATTTTTTTATTATATTTTTTTATTCATCTTCTTCCTCCTCCCCTCCCTTTTCTCCTCCCCTCCCTCCCTCCCTCTCTCTCTCCATCTCCCCCAGCCTCCACCTGCTCCTCTTCACACCCCTTCCCTCTCTGAACATCACATGTTAACTAAAACCCCCTCTGTTTCTCCCGGAGCTCCGCGGCTGATCGGCGGCTCTTCCTCCTCTCGTCAGTCCGCTGAAGGGCACCTCAGGGCGGGGAAGGAGCGTCACAGGGGTCGGTGTTTGTGGAGCGGATCTCCGGAGCTCTCCCTCATGCTGCAGCCATACATGCACGGACATACACACCTCCTTGATGTTGATGCGTACTAACAGCACAGAGAGCAGAAGCTGCAGGAGCAGATTTATTTCAGTGTGAGCTGCAGAAAGGACGGGAGCATGAACCACAGAAGAGGAGGATTCTTCACCATGTTTCTGTTCTTGGGTCTCATATGGACACAGCTGCTGATCACAGGTAAGCCCCTGTTGTCTGCATGCTGCTTAGATTAGACATACTAGTAGAAATGGGGCTCATATGGGTGGCTGTTATTTATGCTCCTTTCTGTCGTCATTAACCTCGTCATAATGAGCCAGAAATGCTTATATCTTTACATGTGAGCATTTATTTGTGTTGCTCAGATAAAATGACCTCTATAATTTGAGATGGAAATAAAACCAGATATATTATGTTACCTGTTAATCTAATGTGATCCTATAATGTTGGCTGGTGCCCTGAAATCAGGCACAACAGAAGCTCACACATATGACAGGAATATAATAACAATATGGTGTATCAGTTAGGGCTGCTCGATTATGGTTAAAATCATAACCTCGATTATTTGGGTCAATAATTGTAATTGCGATTATTAATTTTTTTTTTGAACAGTTGATTTCCCTGAACTTTAAGTTTTCAACTGAAAACCCCCAAAAAAAAAAAGAATTTTCGTTTTATTTCGATTACGTTGTTTTCGTAATCGTTGCAAGCCATAATCGTAATCGCGATTACAATGCGATGAATTGAGCAGCCCTAGTATCAGTCATGTGATCGTTTGTCATTAAATGGGAAATAATGAAGGTTAGATTTTCACAAGTCTTCCACAGGAATTTATTTTGTGGAGTGATCCTACAACATGAGAACAGATGCAGAAGAATATGCTTTTTGCTAACTATTGTCTACATGTATGAAGCAAAGAAGACCCACAGTGATGATGAACAACACCTTCATTCATATATAAAGTATTTTTAAGTAATCAATTAGTTAAACATAAAATTCTGGGTCAAAATGTCGGAGAAAAACGGTAAATAATAAGTAATGTTAGTGTAGTATTATGTGGCGTATTACGAGTATCACACTGCTGTTGAGGGAGTTTAGTCAGGATGGACCTCCTAAGGTTTTAAAGCTAATATTTTATTAACATAGAGGCGAAGTCCCGCCCATCTACTTCCGCCCCATGGGACCTTATTTCGGAAAAATGATGTATTGAAGTCAACGGAGAGAGAAAGATTATCTTTCAATCCCGTTTGAATTGTGACACGAATTACACACATGATGTTTGTCAATCTTAAAAAATAATTTCCACGTCAAAAAAGTCACAGTTTGTCGTAAAACTGTTGAAATATAAGACTATGAAAAATACGCAACTAGAAAGACTACACATCCCAGAGTAAGTGATGTCATAACTGATTTATTCCCTCCACTAAATATAAGAGATGGCTAAAATAAATGAACTTGAACAAGATGCCTGTGTGCTTAGTACCAGGTTGTTATCATACCAGTAATCATACCTCTTGCTCGTTCTTTCGCTTCCCGTCTGAGACCAGAGATCCAGTTCATTGAGCGTTTCACACAAAAACAAGTGTTACTTCAGTTTTACGACACATTTTAATTTTTTTGACTTTGCAAAATGATCTTTTAAATTGACAAACATCATGTGTGTAATTCGTGGCACAATTCAAACGGGATCAAAAGATAATCTTTCTCTCTCCATTGACTTCAATACATAATCTTTCTGAAGTAAGATGGAGCTCCCCCGGAAAGGGAGGGACTTCGCCTCTCTGTTACCTCATTCACACCAACGGTGTTTCAGGGCCGGTTCGGAACTGGAGCTTGAAAAGCACCGGGTTTTCCTCTTCACACCGCAGCGGAGCCGCCTCTTAGCTCCGGAATCCGGTTCGTTTCAAGCACCAAAAAATTGTCCGGCCAGAGCAAAAGCACCGCATACGTCACGCTTACGTCGAGGCGGGGGCAGGGGCGGGATCAACTCCTGAACAACAACAACAAGCCCGCGTTTTATCCAGCTTGTACACAACGATGGAGAAACTTAACAGCAGCAGTGGTCCACTGAAGAGACCAGCTACCTGCTGGGAACCTGGTCTTCTGAAGAGGTGCAGAGGAAGCTGGAGCACAATCGGCCATTGTTGTTGTTGTCGGTGTCAGCTGTGAGGGGTTTTATGAAGCAGGCACGCAAACGGTTACGTCATGGCGCAAACGATGACGCAATGACGCAGCACCAGTCGGACTCTGGGCGGTGTGAAAAGAACCGGAGCTAAACCGAAGAACCGGTTCTGAACCTGAAAAGCTCTAGCACGGAGCTTGAACCGGAGTTGCGTTGGTGTGAATGAGGTGACAGAGCACATTTTAATTTATCATTCATAACATATCATCAGTTCACTCAAATCATGTACCTTCCCTGGCTGTGAAGGTTGTTATATAAACTCACAGGGTCTTTAATATCGTGTTTCCTGTGCGATTGCTAAATGTTGTAATGGAGGTTGGAATAATGCTCACTTTAACGTCCCCAGCAACAAATGACGTCTTCCATATTTTGCGAAAAAAGGGCGATTGGTCCACAAGTGATCTTTTAGAAATGAACTTGTAGGTGCTCCTGTTAGCACCTTTGTCTCCCACACCATCACAGTTGTCAGTAGGGTGCAAGAACACGGTATGATAACTAACACTAGGGTGTGCCGCCATATCAGTAACTTCACACATTATCTGGAGAGCGTTGATTCTTAACTCAGTTCATTTGCCCTTTTAGAGAATATTTAGACAAACAACGAGTTGAGACTTAGCGACTATTAGGGCTCGTAACTCGCGGTGACTTTCTCAAGTATTAATAAACGTTCCTTTATTGGGGTCCTATTATGCTTTTGGGGGTTTTCCCTTTGCTGTGAAGTAGTTCCTTGTGACATTTATATATATTTGAATAGTCTGCAATGCTCCACGAATCGCCTCCATTGGACTCATTTGTTTACTTCCAGAACACGGTGACATCCCTATTGAACACTCGCGCTCCTATTGGCTAGCGATCCAACACATTGTACGTGCTAGAGATGTCCCGCCCCTTAGCCTGAGTGGTTGACCAATCACAACAGAGCAGGCCAACTAACCAATCAGAGCGAATTCATTTTATTTTTTAACCAAAAAACTGAAGCTTATATCTGTATTAATGAAAGTAAACGTAACTGGAGCGTTGTTCTGTTTTCTCTGAATTATAGCAAACAATAATTCAGTTTTAATCACATATTTTACTATTTTTATTAACCTTAAATCAACACTAGATGCAGTGTTTTTCGTGTGTGTGTGTAGGTGTTAGGGAGCATGTCTCCATACAAGTTGAGCCCTCTCTAACTCCACCTCTGATTGGCTGTCTGCCCCGGGGGTCGACTCCACTATCCAATCAGATCGCAGCTCAGCCCGGCGTCTATAGCAACCAGCATTCTATCGTTAGGGAGAAAAAGCCAGAGAGAAGTCTCTCCGTCTGTGAACACTAAGCCGATGCATTCAGTCCCATTTTAAGTCATCTTTACATATTATGATTAATAAGAACTGGTTCATTATTTATTTTCAGTCACAAGATCGTTCTGATTGGTGCAATTTGACTTTTTCCAATTGATCAGAAAACCCCCAAAAATGCTCCTTTTTCTTAACTCAGTAGGGATATTGCCATTTTTCTCAAGAAAGGCAAACCATTGGAATATTCTTTTCCCCACAACCCAAGGTCACGTCTTCAAATGTCTCAATAACCCAACAAATATTCAATTTACGATCATGCAGTGCAACAAAAGCTTCACATCTCCATGTTTCACACGTTGGAACCAGCAAATGTTGCTTAATTTTAGGGATGCACCGAATATTCGGCCACCGAAAATTATCGGCCGAAAATGGTTAAAAAGGCCCTTTCGGCCGAAAGGGTTTTAGCACCGAAAAAATATCACCGAATGTCAGAACAGGCTTACGTTGGTAACCTAACGTGTTGTTGTGATGACGTAATAAAGACGCGGCGACCATGCTCGCGGCTGGCTCACAGGGGGGGGGGGGACATTGACCTTTGTCATCGAGATTGCCCTGAGCCTTTAACAAATGTTATTAAATAATCTGATGACAGACTGTAAACAGAATAGCTGAAATTTTAACAAACTAAATAACTCAGTTTCCTCTAATCATTAACCCATGTTTGTATCATGTAGTTAACTCCGTGTGTTGCTGCTAGCATACATAACACCTGACGTGGAAACGTTACTCGTGGATGGGGCTACAGAGCTGCTAGAAAGACAGTGGAACCCGGTGCATTCCTCCGTCTGCATGCGGTGCACTTTTGCTAAATGTTTAGACAAATTGCTCGTGCTTACATGCTAAACTCTTATTGCACTTATGGTAACAAGTATTCTCCACATCGAGACGGGTCAAGTTGAACCACACCTCGGAGCGCGTTCTCTCCGCCATCTCCGCAGTGTGCTCCGCTGCATGTAGCAGCTGCGTGTGTGTAAACTGCCCCGCCCCCTCGCACACAGACGGGGGAGAGAGATCTCGTCTGATCGAAAATACATCATAGACGCATTTGTTGTCTTTGCATATTAGAAACGAGTTGGCGACACTAAGACTGCGATATAATGTTTTTTAGCAATAATACATGACATATATAAATGTACTGTATGCATTCAAAAGTGCTGAATAAATGTTTTATGGACCCATAATAGTGATTATTATTTAAGTGAAGTTTTGCCATAATCATGTCTATTTCCATAATCAGGTAGCTGAACAACATTGGTAAAAGATGTATACATTATATATATATATATTTCTATTAATCATTTTCGGCCTTTCGGCATTCGGCCAACTGTTTCCTATTTTCGGTATCGGTTTCGGCCAAGAATTTCCCATTCGGTGCACCCCTAATTAATTTCAATGCATGTCACCTTTCCCAACACAGTAAGCTCACACAAGAGACTGCCTTTTGTGAGCCGTCAAACCCAGCATGGTTGTATTTCTGTCCTCCTGTCTGCATGTTAGTCACTCAGCAGAGTTCTGGCTCTCAGAGACGTTGTGTTGTTGGCAGACAGAAGTCGAGGCGGCACTGTCTCAGATTCTCCTCTCGCTTTATTTCCTGGCAAACAGACCGCCGACGCTGCAGACGTCTGGAACCCTCCAGAGAATCCTCCCTGGCGTTGTAGTGGAAACCTTTTATCCAGACTAACAGGAGATATGTGCCTGTGTGTGTTACGCTGTGTGCAGGAAGCAGGACCCAAATGCAGATTTAAGTGTCAAAAATATCTCCTTTATTTCAAGGCTATACTAGAAACAAAGACAGAACAGAACACTCACCGAAGACCAAGTCCAAACACAAGACGAACCGACAAAGACAGACAAACCAGAACTTAAATACACACGAGACTAATTATCCAAACAAGACACAGGTGAGGAGGGAGGAGAAAACACTCGGGTAATCAGACACACCAGGGAAACTAACGACAGGGAACCACAGACAGATCTAAAGACAAGACACAACGCAGACAGAAAACCAAAGACAGGAAGTGAAGACCTTTCAAAATAAAACATGAAACAAAAGACAGAAAAAGACAAAATACAATAAAGTCAGATCTGTGCCCGTGTGATTCATCTGGCTGTTGTATTTTTACCCTATTTAATACAGTAGGGATGCAAGCACCAATATCTCTTCCAACTCCTGTTCTGAAGTCTTGACACTGGCTTCCTGTGTGTCAAAGAATAGATTTCTAAATACTGCTGCTGGTTTATAAAGCACTGAATGGTTTAGGCCCAAAATACATTTCTGACCTCCTGCTAAATGATGAACCATCCAGATCTCTCAGGTCTTCAGGGACTGGTCAGCTTTCTGTCCCCAGAGTCAGAACTAAACATGGAGAAGCAGCGTTCAGTTATTATGCTCCAAATATCTGGAACAAACTCCCAGAAACCTGCAGGTCCGCTGCAACTCTGACTACTTTTAAATCCAGGCTAAAGACTTTTCTTTTTGTCGCTGCTTTTAATTGAACTATTCACATCTTAGACTGCACTGTAACTTTTATCCATGTACTTTTTCTTTTAATGTTTATTTTATTAGCTTTTCTTTTTAATGACTGATTTTAAATGCCATTTTCTTAATGTCTTTCATTTTTGTAAAGCACTTTGAATTGCCTTGTGTTGAAAAGTGCTATATAAATAAACTTGCCTTGCCTTCATAACAACTGTGATAATCTGAACACATTTGAAAAGGATAGAGCCAGGTGGATTTGGCCAAAAAAGAACAGACAACAGTCGTGGAAATATTACAGACTTCCTCGAAAACATACGACTATACGCATTTCTTTACTTTTAGTGGGGCTTCAACTCACTATTCTCATTATGATGTATTTTCTGGATGGATCAGTTGGTCTATACAACGCCAGAAAACAGTGAAAATGTCCAAGTTGACGTCTTGTTTTGTCAGATATTCACTTTATGATATAAAACAGAGAAAAAGCAGCAAATCTCCAGATTCTTTCGGTTAAAAGGGACATTTTCTGACATTTCACTGAAAAACGACTTAAACTCTCATTGATTAGCAGAATAATTCACATGTGATATCCTATAAACCATCAGATGGGCTCTGTGCAGTGTCTGGAGGTTCTCTGTTTGTGTTTTCTTTAAATAGACGGATCCGGATGCTGCCGGTGCTTCACTCTGTAGACTCTCTTTGACTGAATGAATTATGCAGCGTTCACATTCCTCACGGCTCGCTGAGTGCAGCGTCGGGGATTCCTCTTCTTCTTCTTCTTCTTCTTCTTCTTCTTCCTCTTCTTCTTCTTCTTCTTCTTCTTCTTCTTCTTCTTCTTCTTCTTCTTCTTCTTCTTCTTCTTCTTCTTCTTCTTCTTCTTCTTCTTCTTCTTCTCTTCTTCTTCTTCTTCTTCTTCTTCTTCTTCTTCTTCTTCTGCTAAATGTGTTTTAAATAGCACGATAATGAAGAGTGAATCCTCTCCTCATTTCTTCTTCCTGTTCTCGGAGTCTTAAAAGTCCAAAATGAAGTTTAGATAAAGCCTTCGTCAACATGTGGAGGTGAAGTCTTTGAAAATGCAACAACAAAACTATATACCCCAATATTTCAGGTGTTCAGTGTTAGCAGTGGATACCTTGATTATGGAAGGTCCAAGATTTACAAATGGATAAACTATTTAATCTTCTATCATTTAAAAGGGGACCTATCGTCCAAAATGCACTTTGTGATGTCTTTTATAAATCACCATGTGTCCCCGGTGTGTCCCCGGTGCGTCCCCGGTGTGTCCCCGGTGCGTCCCCGGTGCGTCCCCGGTGCGTCCCCGGTGCGTCCCCGGTGTGTCCCCGGTGTGTCCCCGGTGTGTCGGGGAACTCATGCAGCGTCAGAAAATAAAACCCTCTCTCTTTTCCTCCGTACCCAAATCTTTTAAAAACGGGGAACAACGAGCGGATACAGATTCCATCCGAACTGATGTCGGCGGACCCGCAGAAAGTTGCTCTCAGAAACAATGCCTGCCGTGTTTTGGACGTCTTTGTTTACATTAGCCTCGCTAACACTCCGAGCTAACCTGTACTGGAGAGAGCATGTGTTTAAAAAGCAGGACATAAAAAAGGAACTCACCTTGTGATGAACCCGCAAGAGAGAAAGCATTTGAGCTCCATACTGTTTCAGAAATCATTCTTGATGTGGTTTAGAACAGGATGGCATTTCATCACAGCAGAATTTAACTTTATCTCCGGTAGAATTCTGATCAGGCATTAGCTCCGCCTCCTCTTCTTTATTTTTTTCAAGCTAAGGACCCAAAATCAAATATAGCATGATAGGTCCACTTTAAACTACTACTAAAAAAAACGTTCTTTATTCGTGTGTCCAGGTTTCCATTTCATCTGTTGAAATAAATCTTTAATTCTCTGAGTTACGGTACGTCCACACAGCAGCTTTTCAAAAATCTTGAAAATCTTGGAGCTGGGCGTGTCTGAAAGCTTGGGGATTTTTTGCGAGCAACGCGACCAACAACCAATCACATGAATCTCCCGCCCCCGACATACAAAGCAAAAAAACCCCGGGGATTTTATGCGAGCAATATATATATATATATATATATATATATATATATATATATATAAACTCCCCAAACAGGCGAAAACCTACCAGTTTCCCCCACTGTCTCTGCCACCTCCCTCCATGCCTGGTTCCTCCGGTTTGTATCCCGTTAATAGTTCTGGTCGTAAAGAACCGGGTGATTTGCTTCCGTAATTTCTCGTTTGGAATATGAGGAAATGAACTGTGGTCTGGCTCTCCCTGCTTACACGCGGTTTGATTGGCTAGCGCTTCTACTGTCAGATTTGCATAAACGGGATTTGATTGGCTGACGCTTCCAGCTCAGCTTCAAAAGTTGAACATTGCTCAACTTTTGAATCCTGGAAATCTTCGCTTCGCTCCCCCACAATGCAGTTCGGCGAAAAGCGAGGCAAAGTGACGTCATCCCCATTCAAAGTCAATGGGCAGAGAAGCGTTGGAAGCGTTGGAAGATTTGTTTAAAGCTGCTGTGTGGACGGACCGTTAGATGTAACCTGACTTGAATTTTGAATTGAGCCGTCCCTTAGAGATACTATCTCTTACGTATTAGTGATGGGAATCCCGGCTCTTTTTAGTGAGTCGGATCTTTCGGCTCTTCATGTTACCACGGTTTACCACGAAGCCTCAGTTTCGCCGCTGCGAGGCTCCGGCGCTCGTAGTTCTCGCGCGTGCTCCACTAGCACCCCCCGCCAAGGCTCGCCGGCAGTACACTTTCCGTCACAGGAACACGCTTTGCTGGAGGCGAAAATAATCCCACCAGACTCCTTTGCCTCTCCAACAGAGGGATGTCCTTGTCCTTTTTCCTTTTTGTCATTTCAAGCGTTTTTTGGACGCCCTCGGCTCGAGTTCAGGGTGAGCTGAATAAGGCAAGACGCCCGCCTCGCGGAAACGCTGCTCGAGACGCAGGATGTGTGTTAGTTAAAGAAGACTATAACACCCCTTGTTGTTAAATACCAACTATGTGCAATATATATATATATATATATATATATATATATATATATATATGCCGTTAATAACTGTGTAATATATACCTGCTGCTATATCGTCAGAACTGTTACAGGATGTGTATTTTATACATTGTGTATTTTTGTAATCTTTAATATTGTTTGTATGCATGCTTCTCAGTTAACATTAAGCTGTCTTTGGCTCTTCTGCTGGAACAAACAAATCGACAGCTATTGGGATTAATAAAGTGCATCTTATCTTATTGGATATGATCAGCTCACCAGCACTCGTCCTCCATCTTTGTTTCCCCTCACTCCTTCTTCTCTCGTCAGAATCGTCCTCTGGAGATCACGAGCTGCGTCTCTTCCCGTCTCGTCGCTCCAGTCTCCTCCATCAGGAAGTGGAAAACCTCCCAGAACCCAAACACCTCCACCACCTTCACCTTCATCATCTTCATCATCACCTTCATCCTCAGCCTCCTGCCGGGTTTTTATCCAAAGCGATGCCGCCCGCTCTGCTGGACTCTCCGTTTCCTCCGGAGCACAAAGTGGTGACCGCACGACATCTGGTGACCGTGGTGAGTAACATTAGCTAAAGGGGAGTGGGGATACACATAATCATAATAATAACTTATATAACGCCTTTCAGGGGACCCAAGGTCGCTTTACAGAACCACATCCATCCGGATACACCTTGGTGCGATTAGAAAGCATTTATTGTCATTTGCAGAAACATATACAACAATGTTTGTGGAGTGCAACCCTGTCAAAGTGCACAGTAACAAAAACAGACAAACAATATAAACACACCAGTATGACAGACAACGTAAACAATCAAACGGGGGGATACATAGTTAACCTGTTAAGCTTAACGTGTGTGACGGGAAGAAACTCCGCTACCTGATAGGGATGCCAGCGATTATTCGATTTTTCGAATATTCGTTACAGTCTCCATAATCGAAAATTATTCTTTAAAATTCGATTTTATTTATATATATTTTTCTTTTTTTTTCTGGCTTAGTTTCAACCAAAATATAGACTAATGCTAATAATAGTAATAGTATTAATAATTGTAAATGGCCATTGGTCATTCGTCACACGTGCGATTGATTTATTGGCGATATACAGAACAGTGAGAACAACACAACTACAGATGAACACAGCGTTACGTTCAAAGAAGAGTTCCTCGTGGAACTACTTCGAACTGACAAATGAAAAAAATAATTGTTTCGCTACACATTTTATTTTCTCCCGCGGGGGGGAGGCGGC